TCCACTCAAAGGATGAGTGGCGCTGCCCAATACTGTCACTATGGCGGTGTGTCCACTCACAGGATGAGTGGCGCTGCCCAATACTGTCACTATGGCGGTGTGTTCACTCACAGGATGAGTGGCGCTGCCCAATACTGTCACTATGGCGGTGTGTCCACTCACAGGATGAGTGGCGCTGCCCAATACTGTCACTATGGCACCGTAGCCGAGTGTGGCTATAGCACCTTCAAAGGATACCTGATCAACCAGGCTGTGACTCATACGTCAGGCTGCGAGCAGCCGCGTCCAACAGCCTGGTTGATCAGTCCGGCAACCAGGAGGCCTGGTCGACGACCGGGCCGAGGGGACGCTAAGCCCCGGAAGCACCTCAAGGTAACCTCAAGGTATGGCGGTGTGTCCACTCACAAGATGAGTGGCGCTGCCCAATAAACTCGCCCCTCGGGGCAAAATTAAAAAAAAAAATGTATATTATTTGGTATCTCTCTCGTCTCCTTTCTAGAGAGTACATTTGGAGAGCTTTGAGACGATCCCAATAATTTAGGTGCTTTATCTCGTCTATGCGTGCCACATATGTTCTCTGTATTCCCTCTATTTCAGCAATCTCTCCTGCTGTGAAGGGGGAAGTGAGTACTGAGCAGTACTCAAGACGGGACAGTATAAATGACGTCACAAGGTTGTTCCAGTATTGTTAATCAGTGGACTTCTTGCCTTCATGTTGTAGCCATGCTCAGTCACCGTAGCCATGCTCAGGCACCGTAGCCATGCTCAGGCACCGTAGCCATGCTCAGGCACCGTAGCCATGCTCACGGTCACCGTAGCCATGCTCACGGTCACCGTAGCCATGCTCACGGTCACCGTAGCCATGCTCACGGTCACCGTAGCCATGCTCACGGTCACCGTAGCCATGCTCACGGTCACCGTAGCCATGCTCACGGTCACCGTAGCCATGCTCACGGTCACCGTAGCCATGCTCACGGTCACCGTAGCCATGCTCACGGTCACCGTAGCCATGCTCAGGCACCGTAGCCATGCTCAGGCACCGTAGCCATGCTCAGGCACCGTAGCCATGCTCAGGCACCGTAGCCATGCTCACGGTCACCGTAGCCATGCTCAGTCACCGTAGCCATGCTCACGGTCACCGTAGCCATGCTCACGGTCACCGTAGCCATGCTCACGGTCACCGTAGCCATGCTCAGGCACCGTAGCCATGCTCAGGCACCGTAGCCATGCTCAGGCACCGTAGCCATGCTCAGGCACCGTAGCCATGCTCACGGTCACCGTAGCCATGCTCCCGGTCACCGTAGCCATGCTCCCGGTCACCGTAGCCATGCTCCCGGTCACCGTAGCCATGCTCAGGCACCGTAGCCATGCTCAGTCACCGTAGTCATGCTCAGGCACCGTAGCCATGCTCAGGCACCGTAGCCATGCTCAGGCACCGTAGCCATGCTCACGGTCACCGTAGCCATGCTCAGGCACCGTAGCCATGCTCAGGCACCGTAGCCATGCTCAGGCACCGTAGCCATGCTCAGTCACCGTAGTCATGCTCAGGCACCGTAGCCATGCTCAGGCACCGTAGCCATGCTCACGGTCACCGTAGCCATGCTCCCGGTCACCGTAGCCATGCTCCCGGTCACCGTAGCCATGCTCAGGCACCGTAGCCATGCTCAGGCACCGTAGCCATGCTCAGGCACCGTAGCCATGCTCACGGTCACCGTAGCCATGCTCCCGGTCACCGTAGCCATGCTCACGGTCACCGTAGCCATGCTCACGGTCACCGTAGCCATGCTCACGGTCACCGTAGCCATGCTCAGTCACCGTAGCCATGCTCACGGTCACCGTAGCCATGCTCACGGTCACCGTAGCCATGCTCCCAGTCACCGTAACCATTACTAATGGCTATGATGTTATAATGACAGTATGTTGTGTGATGTTAGAGTGTAAAGTTATAAGGGTGAAGGGACACGTGATGTGGGTTATGGGTAGGAGTCCTGGTCTTGTGGTGGAGAGTGTGGCAGCTGTGGAGGAGGAGGGAGGGAGGGAGGAGCCGGGAAGTGAGGTTGCACACTCAGGGCGCAGGAATGTGTGTGTTGTGAGGTGCACACCTGCCGCCGCCACCACCACCACACTCCAGCAAGGTGATCCCCACTCCTCCCACCTCACCTTAACTACTCTTCCCTATTATGTGAATGAAGTTCTCTGGCAGGAATGTCTCGTGACATTATTACTTGAAGCTTTAACACACAACATGATGGCAAGTATTGCATTATGTTGTATTATGATAGAGCGCGCACACACGCAACACTGCAACAACCCGGGCCAACATGGGCCTGGAGCGGGAACATCCTCTCTACTGCCTACTCATCCACCATCACAAAATCACGGAAGCATTAAAAGAAAACCAGAATGCCGATGTAGTGTAGACAGACTTGGCCAAGGTATTCGGTAAGTGTGACCGTGACGGGATGGACCATAACATGAGAGCAACAGGACTTACGGGTAAAGAGAGGCGTTGGACATGTTTATTGTCAAACACAAAGCAAAGAGTAACAATCAAAGAGAACCAAGTCCAAGCCGTGTGAAGCACGGTGCACCCGAGGGCACCATGCACCACTGCTCACTCTCAGGTTTTCCTCAGTCAGGTGTCATGTAGACAAACACATGAGTCACCGCTGTGTATCAGCCTGTGCTGGCGATGCAACACTTAACACCAAGTTTCCTAAGTTAGACACTAAAAACCTACAAGACAATTTAAGTAAGTCTTCCACAGAGCAGCAGAAAATAACATGATGTTTAACAATGATAAATTCCACATACTTAGCTATGGTAAAATGTTTAACTCAAAGGCAGGGAAAGGGAGCCGGTGGGCCGAGCGGACAGCACGCTGGACATGTGATCCTCTGGTCCCGGGTTCGATCCCGGGCGCCGGCAAGAAACAATGGGCAGAGTTTCTTTCACCCTATGCCCCTGTTACCTAGCAGTAAAATAGGTACCTGGGTGTTAGTCAGCTGTCACGGGCTGCTTCCTGGGAGTGGAGGCCTGGTCGAGGACCGGGCCGCGGGGACACTAAAGCCCCGAAATCATCTCAAGATAACCTCAAGATAGAGAGGCCAGACTAGGCCTATAGGCCCGGGTGGGGACTGTTGACCGTATCCCCTCCCCCTCCCCTCTCTATCAAACCTAGTCTCAGCGACTTTGGTGAGTGAACGTGTAATTCAATTTCTTTCTTTATTATGCACCCCATACCCATCCCGTGGGCGGTGGTGTAAGGGGTTACAGAGGCACATAATCGGTTCAGGAACTGAACCCTCTAGTTCGTTTAGCTAAGCAAATAACAATCTTTTGACGCTAGTTACACAATTATTAATGTATATATACATGTACACATATACATAAATGACGTATATATACGTATACATACATACACACATACACCTATATATTCAATCACCTACATAAATACACACATCAGTAATCTTTTGTATCACAAGTGATTCAACAAGAGGCTCACAACAGTCACTATACGAGGCACTTTACATCTTTGGTCAGTCACACAGTTACTAGTCTTGCTCCACACCCACCCAACTGGGCGGCAGCTTTACAGTCATGTGCTCCACACCCACCCAACTGGGCGGCAGCTTTACAGTCATGTGCTCCACACCCACCCAACTGGGCGGCAGCTTTACAGTCATGTGCAGCATTACCTACAGTCAGCCAATTTTGGATACTTCGTTAAGATTTCTGGCAGCAGCAGCAGCAGATAATATTGTTGTTCAGACAAGTTCCAGGCCTCGTCTTCTAGTTGAATAATTATTAACTTGAATGGATGGTGGCAGCAACCTTCTGTCTTGCCACTATCTTTCTTTCTTCTCTTCTACTGTCCTCCTGGATCTAGTTTTCTCTCATTCTAAACTTTCCCTTCCCTCCAGGCCATTCTTCCTCTCTACTCTCTTCTACCTCTCTACCTCCCTTCTACCTCCCTCACCTCATGACCTGCTTCACTCTTCCTCTGTTTTCTTGTACGTTACAGGGGGACGAGAAGAGATGGGGAGGATGGGAAAGTGAGGTAGAGAGGGGCAGGTAGGGGGAGGAGAGGTGAGGAGGAAGGGAGAGAGAGAGAGAGGTAGGGGTGTAGTATAGAAGCCAGATGGCCAGATGTGAGGCTGGCACCATGTTGAGGGTGTCACGTGATCCCCGAGCTGCTGGAACACTTGCTGCCTTGTACGGCTCCCACACCTCTTGTACACCCGCCTGTACACCTTGTACACCCGCCTGTACACCTTGTACATGCACTAGGAGGTGATGTGGTGGAGGCTGACTCCATACACAGTTTCAAGTGTAGATATGATAGAGCCCAATAGGCTCAGGAACCTGTACACCTGTTGATTGACAGTTAAGAGGCGGGACCAAAGAGCCAGAGCTCAACCCCCGCAAGCACAACTTGGCGAGTACACGCACGCACACTTTGCAGGTCAAAACGTTATACGACAAAGAGTACTGGGAAGACTGGACACCACGAGCGTAGCTCTCATCCTGTAAGTAAACTTAGGTAATGCCACAGAGAGTGTACACAGTGAGAGTTATTACTTAAGAGGCCTGGCTGGTCCTCGAGGCCTGGCTGGTCCTTGAGAGGCCTGGCTGGTCCTGGAGGCTGGGCTGGTCCTGGAGGCCTGGCTGGTCCTCGAGGCTGGGCTGGTCCTGGAGGCCTGGCTGGTCCTGGAGGCCTGGCTGGTCCTGGAGGCTGGGCTGGTCCTGGAGGCCTGGCTGGTCCTCGAGGCTGGGCTGGTCCTGGAGGCCTGGCTGGTCCTGGAGGCCTGGCTGGTCCTGGAGGCCTGGCTGGTCCTGGAGGCCGGGCTGGTCCTGGAGGCCCGGGTAAGTGTATTACCCCCCCCCCTGCTCCTAGCACAAGAGCACACCATGATGAAGGTGTAACATTAACAAGTCGGCCCGTGTGGTGTGTGGTGTGTAGTGATGTTAGTAACAGTGTTTGTCTTCCTCCACAG